GGGGGGGGGCACGGAGGGGGCACGAGGGAGAAGGTCTTTGTCTCTCCTTTGTGCCAAGTGCCCGGCGCGTTTGAGGAGGCAGATGGGCAGTGGGCTCCAAGGAGTGGCATCTTTTCTGTTTGCCCAGTGGGTTCTGCTAAAATGCTAGATGTGGAAAGGGTGGCCTTCATTTTCCTTCACGGTCAGAAAACTTCCTAGGTTTCTCCTTTTTACTTAGTCTCCTGTTTCTCTTTGAAAATCAACCAGAACCTCAAGGGTGTCTGTCAGTTAAAAGAAAAAAAAAAAAAAAAGGAAAAAAAGCATCTGGGGTGACCTTATAGGAGCAAGGCTCCCTGCTGAGTCCTGAGCTCAAGGAGAAGGCAGGACAGAGATGGCCATGGTGTTGGCCCTGCCTGGTTTCTAGGAGCACTGACTGTGGGTCCTGCTGCTGCAGCCCCCGGACCCCTACCCCCGGGGAGGGGAGGGACGAGTTGGCTGGGAGAGGAGAGACACAAGGTGTGCAGAGCTGAGGAGCTCTGAGTAAAGCTTGATTAGCCACTAGTTTGCAGGGGGGAGTGCCTCCTGGCCTTCCAGAAACACAGACCAACTCGGGGCACGGGGGCCTTCTGCTGCCCTTGTGTGTGTGAACAGTGCCCTCTGTGAACACTTCCCTAACTCCTAGCTTCAGGCTGCCGCAGGCCCCCATGGCACGGGAAGCCACCCCTCCAGGCGGCACCAACAAACACGCCCAAGAAGAAAGTCCTTCTGGCTGGCCGCGCATCCTTCCTTCCGGAGAGAAAGGCAGAGTAGATCCGTTTCCCTTGAAAAGCTGTAAAATGGCAGACTTTCCCTTGTTCAGGTCCTTCCCAGTGCCCCTGACCACTGCATTTTCCAAAAGCAAACACGCTTGCAAGATCCGATGCACTGGGTCCTTCACAGATGACGGATGAATCTAGATCACGGCGGAGTTGCCTGGCCACCTCTGCCACAGCCTGAACTTCGTTCTGGGGGAAGTGTTTGCTTGGCATCGATTCTAAGACATCGAGCTAGGCAGCTGCAGTTTGCGTGGTTTGTCCGAGAATAAATTAAAAAAAAAAAAAGGAAAACCCCACGTAAACCACTGGTCACACAATAAGGGTCTGGTTAGTGTGTGTTGCTTTTGGTCCAGGCCTCCCCACGGGACAGGGTGGGAACAGCAAAGTTGTGGATCCGTGGCGTCCTCCTCTGTGTGGCCCCACTACCGGGGGTCTGCACACGAATTACTGCCACTCCCGGCCGCAAGGATTGTGCCAAGCCACGCAGACTCTCAGGGGGACCTTCATACGGCCCCAGGCTCATCCATGGATGGCCCCGTGCGGTCACACCCCTAGGCCTCAGGGAGTCACTGCAAACCCGCCCTTGGGACCCCAGCCGCGAAGACCCAGGAAGAAGGGCTGAACAGTGAGGCGAGCAGCTGCTACCCACGTTACCCGCCACGTGCCTGGACCACAGGGACCTGGGGGACTCGGGGGCAAGGGAAGCGACTGGCCAGGCCTGGACCACGGCGGCCTCGGCTGCAAAATACCCCGGGCACTATCTCGGTCTTATTCCCGAGTACCTCAGGGCTGGTCTGTCCTCCTGTTTCCTCCCGAATGAAACTCCTGAGGGGGCTCAAATCCTACCCTAGCATCTGAGAGGAGCTGTGGCTAACCCCGGGAGGCCAGGACCACCAGCAGGACAGGTGGTAGCCCGGGGTGCTGGGTGCTGGTGGTAGGGAAGGGCGGGAGGCCCCTCGGGTGTTTCCTTTGCACTTCTCAGCCAAGACCTTCCGTATTACCCTACATCTAAAATGAATGTGGCTGTAACGACAGTTCCCCCACGTTTGCGGGATTATACCTGATCCCCGAAAGGGGTCTCCTGCTGACTTCAGATCGTGAGGTCACGTGAGCGCTCGCCTGGCCAGCCCTCCCACCCACCACGACCTCCGTTCATCACCCCTGTTCTCAGGAGCCGCCGGGTAGAAAAGTCTGAGAATCACCAGTGGACGGCCAGGCCAGGCCAGGCCAGGCTGTGCCACTCAGACCCTTTCTGTGGATTTTCTGGCGCCATGTCCCCCAGGTGGCTGACTTTTCTGCACACTCGACTTGACTGCTTTTAAAAGAGAAAGGTCGGGTTCTCCCGCCAAGCAAACGCGACAACACGGATGAACCTGGACGGCCTTCCTCTTGAGTGAGCCACGCAGGAGAAATACTGCGTGATCCCACTTAGAGGAGATGCCAAACTCCTGGGAGCAGAGGAGAGGATGGTGATGGCCAGGCCCGAGGCAGGGAAACAGGAGTGGATGCGGATGAAACGTCTGTTAGGAGCGACGGAGAAGTTCCGGAGAGGAGCATACGACACCGGGCCCGTAGAGGACAACGCTGCACGGCTCACTCAGTCTGTTAGGAGTCGATCTCGTGTTAAATCTTCTTACCACAAGAGCAATCTTAAAACCAGGGAGGAAGGGCTGCATTTTATCACCACTTAAACATTCATCATTATCCCTCCGGGGCACAAGCACCGTGGTGCCCACGTTAATCCTTCAGCTGCAAGTGGGTGCGTCTCACTCCAGATCTGGGGAGCCATCTCCAGGGGGAATCCAATCAGATTCTCCTGGGCATTATCAGCGCTGCCTTCTGAACTCCTCCCTCAGAGGGGCGCCTGGGTGGGTCCATCGGTTAAGCATCCGGCTTCTGCTCAAGTCGTGATCTCACGGTTCGTGAGCTCGAGCCCCGCGTCCGGCTCTGTGCTGACAGCTCGGAGCCTGGGTCCTGCTTCCAATTCTGTGTCTCCCTCTCTCTCTGCCCCTCCCCTGCTCATGCTCTGTCTCTCTCTCAAAAATAAATAAACATTAAAAATATTAAATAATAAATTAAAATAAACTGCTCCAACAGAGAGAAAGCTATCAACCAGCGAATACCGGGGGGGGGGGGGGGGGGGGTGCAGACCCCACCCCTCAACAAAAGGAATTTATAGACACATTTCTGGAAAGCGCCAGGAATAAATACCATGGCTTCCAAATTCTAGAGACTGTGGAAAGGACACCTCGGAGAAGAGTCAGGGTGACTCAAGCAGGAACAGGGGCGCCCCCCAAAACCGCATCCTCCAAACTCCTTCCCTGTGCTTTCCTCGATGAAGGTTTACTTGAGGTCACACATACTCAGCAAGGGGACAGTGCTTACCTGCCCCCGCTAACAATGACACCAGCATGTGGTACTGTGCTCAACGTGGTATGTCCCCCAAGCAGGGGAACCCCTGCTTCCCCTACTTTATAAAAGGAAATTGATATTTCGAGAATTGAAATCTGAAACCCACGGTTACCCAGAGAGCAAGGAACCAAGCCAGAATGTGAACCTCGGCAGTTCAGGTTCGGGACCCCCATACTGCACTGCCTTGAATGCCTGAATAGACTATTGAAAACGTTTAAATAGTCTAGGGGCGCCTGGGTGGCTCAGTGGGTTGGGCGTCCGACTTCGGCTCAGGTCATGATCATGGTCCGTGGGTTCAAGCCCCGCGTCGGGCTCTGTGCAGACAGCTCGGAGCCTGGAGCCTGCTTCGGATTCTGTGTCTCCCTCTCTTTGAGCCCCTCCTCCGCCTGTGCTCTGTCTCTCCCTGTCTCTCAAAAATAAATAAAT